AAAAGCTCGTCTATTTTGTCCGCTCAATTCTGGCTACGCCCAACTCGGTATGCATCGAAGAAGAGACTGTGAGTCTTCTCCATCCATTTTGACTCAGTCTTCGAGCAGATGAATTCGCTTTGTTGCTGGAGTCGTCACTTTAATCGGAAGGTTCCGGCTAAGCTGGAGGCATCACCCAGTTTCTGTGACTGCCTCGGACTCTTGGATTTTTTCGATGCTCCGCTTTTCTTGCCTAAACGTCCACGCTTGAGTATGAAGGGAGGCTCGAAGTCCCTATTTGTTGTCGAGGGCGATGTGTCCAAAGACAACGATGGCAACTAGTCTGTAGGTCCTATTTAGTTTATGAGCTTTGCGATGACTGGCTCCTGCACCAATTATCCCCTGGGCAGACTGAAAGGGGTCTAGAAATGGTACTTTGGTCTGGGCCAAACTGTGTACTTTGGGAATACTGAAGAGCATTTTGGGTTATAATAAGGAAGATGATAGTGCAAATGTTGTGAAAGAGAGTTTCTGACTTGCCGATTGTGTTCGTCCAAGCATTCCTTGCCGAAGGTATTGTCTGTTTTTCTGAAATGATCATTTAAATAATCTCGTATTATAATCAATCGAGACATGAATTTCTGTTAAATTATTGCAGATACTGCCGATAGCACCAGCACAAATGTTCGGCTATGACAGTAAAACTTGTATTTTATATCGTCTGAGCACAAGTTCCAGACTTGGCATATGCAAATAACGCTCAGCACTTGTTAAATAAAAAACATTTAGCAGCAGTTTAATAGAGATGAGCAGACACAATTGTGTGGGTGTTTAACAAAAGAAAAGATAGAACAACTCAAACCGAACTGCGCAATGCAATATCATCTTCACACGCAAGTCATTCTGGTGCCTGTGGCCCGAGAAGATGAGATGCTGGGCGACATGGAGCTGCGACAAGCCGACGTCGAGAAAGGACGGAAGTGATGGACAGGCTCGCCCCGATCTAATTTAATAGAACCGGTCAAAGTGAGCAGCTTTCTCGAAAAGAAATGCGTTGACCTCGTTGTCGCAACTTGGTTTTGTTGTCAGGGCGACTTAGTAGAATGCACCTAGTCCGAAGTCGTCTGCCATAGTAGTTGTCATGATTGCCAGAATCAGATAGTGGACTTGATAGATTCTCAGACGTCTCATCGGCATCATCAGTAAGTTTTGCCATTCTCCTCACTAAGCTACGAACTCGTCAAAGAGACAAGTGAATTCAATCCCTCGACAAACATTCTGCCGTAAACGGTTACACTATCACTCCTCTTTCTGACAATGTCCATCTATCTACTCTTTATCCTCTTATCTTACTGCCGCCACATCACAACTTCTCACTTGTTTACATTCCACTCGCCAAAATGTGTGCTCTTTTGTGGCAAATCTAGTGTGGCCTCATCACATATCCTACGAGACAGGACAACATATCGTATAGTAAACAAGGACCCAACTATGAAGATCAATGGAATCCTAAGTGGTATGCTGAAATATATGCATAGGAATGGGGAAATTGACGCATGGACAATAAATTCAATCATAAAGAAGGATGCACGACCACCAACAGCATACGGATTACTGAAGCTACACAAAGAAGGCTGATATTCAACAAGAAGTATGAAGCAACACAGAAATTGGCAAAGTTTATATGTTTGAAAATCAAGAAATCAAATGAGAGGCTATTAAACACGGTGAAAAATTCATATGAATTTTCTCAAAAAATCAAAAACATGGAACTTAAAGAAACA